TTGGAGACTAGAAATTGTCCCTAGTTAGTTATTAGTTATGTGTCCCTATAATAGACTGGAGACGGGTCTAGGGTGTCCCCAGCCTATCGTCTGATTCCTGCTGAAACCTTTGACCCTCTATGGGGAAAAGAGATTGACAAGCTAATGGCTAGTACAGGCATAGCTAAACCCTAAAAGTACTACTGGTATCCTAAAACATCTCTACTGGCAAAGATTTGCTGTTTTTCATGTAAACACAGCTTTCTAAGTGTTGCTGCACAAGAAAACAGGCTCACTCTGGGTTGACTCCAGCTGGGTTTGGAGAGTGAGGAAACCCACCCAATATGGCGGCTACGCTGTTACGTTCTCCAGCACCCGATGGGGCGACTACATCAGAGCAATTCTGGGAGAGACAGACCGAATCCGGTGATCTCCTTAACTGTGAATGTTTGAAATGTAGTAATTGATCTAGATTGTAGATCTTTAGTTTGTCATTTGTAGTTTAGTTTGTTTATAGTTAGTGAGCTGTGGGCCATTTTGTATTTTAATTTTTAATTTTTTTTGCTTTAATTAACAGTTTTCATATTTAAATTTAGGTTAGTGTTTTTACACTCTCTCATATATAAGATAAACTCATATAAACTTGTATACGTAAACCTTTTGTAAAATAATACATTCATACCATCAGTAGACACCTACTGCAAAGGTCCAACATTTGCCTGCCAAGCAATCCTGTACAGGTCCTTCTCAAAAAATTTGCAGATTGTGATAAAGTTCACTATTGTCTGTAATGTACTGATAAACATTAGACTTTCATATATATTAGATTCATTACACACAACTGAAGTAGTTCAAGCATTTTATTGTTTCTAATATTGATGATTTTGGCATACAGCTCATGAAAACCCAAAATTCCTATCTCAAAAAATTAGCGTATCATGAAAAGGTTCTCTAAACGAGTTATTAACCTAATCATCTGAATCAACTTATTAACTCTAAACACCTGCAAAAGATTCCTGAGGCTTTTAAAAACTCCCAGCCTGGTGTCATGTGCCGGGGTGAGTGCTCCTCTCATTTTTGTTCCATCTTAGAGCTGCTGTGTTTCAGGAGAGGGAGGCTCCAGCTGCAGCTCATCAACAATCAGCGGGTCCAGCTATAAGAGGAGGAGGAGAACACATCTCGACACCGACAGGTACAACTCAGACTGTCCCAACCGCAGCCCCAGGCCCCCCGCGGAGCCTTCGCTCGCCGGCCCCGTTCCTCCTGCAGTTCCCAGGTTCGGCAGGAGCAGCCACCCCAGAAGTCACCTATTTCTGTCCAGCCTCCTCACCTCCATCACCGACATTCAGTGGTGAGTTTGAGGACTGTTACAGTTTTCTGCTACAATGTCGGCTCGCTTTCGAGGGCTCACCAGGAGGCTTTTCTTCTGACTCAGTCAAGATCTCATACATGGTAGGATTACTTTGTGGGAGAGCCCTAAGATGGGCTGAGGCGAAGAGTCACTGTGCTACTTTTCTGTCGGGACCTCTGGAGGACTTTTTGACTGATTTTAAATGAACTTTTGGCAGTACTGAGTCTGTTAAGGACATCAGTAAAAGACTGTGGAGTTTATCGCAGGGGCGGAGAGCTGTTGCTGGCATGTCTGTGGAGTTTAGAACCCTGGCGGCTCGGTCATCCTGGAATGAGGAAGCCCTCCTCGCTGCCTTCACGGAGTCCCTCAACGACCGAGTTTGGAACCAGTTGGCGCTGTGCCCAGAACCCCAGTCGCTGGAGGAACTCATCCGCCTGGCCATTTCTATTGACAAACGCCAGCATGAGCTGCGGTACCAGAACCTTCCCCACATTGGACCGTCACCATGTGTCGGGCACTCGGCCCTCCGCGGAGCCCACCACCATGGAGGAACCCATGGAAGGACACGCCTCAGCCGGGAGGAGAGGTCACATCGGATCAGGTCAGGTCTGTGTTTATATTGTGGGGAGCCAGGACACTTTGCTAGGGCCTGTCCGGCTCTGTTAAAAGGCAGAGCCCACCAGTAAAGACAGGACTACTGGTGGACAGTAACTCTTCCTCTGCGAGCTCCCGCTGTGTACTTCAGCGTGTTGTGCTTTTTAACTCCGAGCAGTTTCATATAGAAGCGCTTGTTGACTCTGGTTGTGAGCAGTCCTTGTTGGACCCGGACTTAGTAAAGAGATGGAAGATCCCAACCAATCGGCTCCCTTCTCCGCTCTCTGTCTTCCTTGGACGACCGGAACCTGTCAACCATTACTCACCTGACCATCCCGTTGCAGTTACGAGTGTCAGATAACCACACGGAGGCTTTGGCTTTTCATGTGTTTCCCTCTCCTCGGTCACCTCTGGCCCTGGGACACTCCTGGCTCTCCCTCCATAACCCCCACGTGAACTGGGAGACTAACAGAGTTGAGGAATGGAGCTCCAGATGCTCACAGACCTGCCTCCGCTCAGCCTCACCCACTCTCCGCAGCCCCGCCGCTCCTCCAGCAGAAAGGATAGACCTGTCGTCTGTGCCACCGGTCTACCACGACCTCAGCCTAGTCTTCAGCAAGGATCGGGCATCATCTCTCCCCCCACACAGGCCATTCGATTGCAGCATAGATCTGCTGCCAGGGGCTCCTCTTCCCTCCAGCTGCCTTTACCACCTCTCTAAACCAGAGAGAGAGCATGGAGAGCTACATACAGGAGTCTCTGGCCGCCGGCCTCATCAGACCGTCCTCATCACCCCTAGGAGCGGATTTCTTCTTCGTTCCGAAGAAGGAAGGAACACTCAGACCTTGTATTGACTACAGGGGTCTGAACCAGAATACCATTAAGAACAAATACCCGCTGCCTCTACTAACATCTACTTTTGAGCCAATTCAGGATGCCAGCATCTTCAGTCGCCTGGATCTCCGGAACGCCTACCATCTGGTTCGAATTCGTCAGGGAGACGAATGGAAGACCGCATTTAAGACTCCCATCGGACATTTCGAATACTTAGTGATGACCTTTGGTTTAACTAATGCACCAGCCGTGTTCCAGTCCCTAGTGAACTCTGTTTTAGGAGACTTTCTAAATAAATTTGTGACAGTTTATTTAGATGATATTTTGATTTTTTCTAACTCCTTAGAGCAACATGTAAGACACGTTAGGGCCGTGTTACAGTGCCTCCTGGAGAACCGCTTATATGTAAAGGCGGAGAAATGTGTGTTCCACGCCCCCAAGGTAAAGTTCCTTGGTTTTATCATCTAGAGCGGGAGGCTAAAGGTTGGTTTATGCTTGACGCGTCCGCGAGGTCCGCACGGCTCCGCACGGTCCAAAATTTCCGCACCACGCACCTAGGACATTTTCTAACCACGCGGACAGTTGGACGCGGAAAAACGTGGTGGACTGGCAAGAACTAGTATGGCAGAGGTTCGTAAATACAGACATTTGTATGATTCAGCTCTCAGAGATCACCGTGATCAACATGTTGTTAATAATTCTTGGAGAGAAATAGCTCGCACTGTTGGAAAAGACGAGGACGCTGTTAAAACTGCTGGAATGCCATGTTGTAAACAGTAATTTCTACTTCTACTATGGTGTAGTGTTGGATGCATGCCGTAGAGCTCCATGCTGCCCCGTTCAGTTTGGGAGAATATTGGCTCACCGCAGAGACGAGCCGTACGAACCATAAACGCTGCAAGTTGATTTCATTTTTCAGCACGACCTGGCACCTGCTCACAGTGCCAAAACCACTGGTAAATTATTTAGTCCATGGTAGTACTGTGCTCAGTTGGCCTGCCAACTCTCCTGACCTGAACCCCAGAGAGAATCTGTGGGATATTGTGAAGAAAAAGTTGAGAGACGCAAGACCCAACACTCTGGATGAGCTTAAGGCCGCTATCGAAGCATCCTGGGCCTCCACAACACCTCAGCAGTGCCACAGGCTGATTGCCTCCATGCCACGCCGCTTTGAAGCAGTCATTTCTGCAAAAGGATTCCCGACCAAGTATTGAGTGCATAACTGAACATAATTATTAGAAGGTTGACATTTTTTGTATTAAAAACACTTTTCTTTTATTGGTCGGATGAAATATGCTAATTTTTTGGGATTTTCATGAGCTGTATGCCAAAATCATCAATATTAGAAACAATAAAAGGCTTGAACTACTTCAGTTCTTCAGTTGTGTATGTATGAAAGTCTAATGTTTATCAGTACATTACAGACAATAATGAACGTTATCACAATATGCAAATTTTTTTGAGAAAGACCTGTATATGTGTGTATATATATATATATGCGCACCCTCAGGGACACCGCAGGAAGACGTTGCTCTTGAATTGTTGTAATAATCATTTTTATATTTGTGCCAGAATCTTAATTTCTTTACCCCAGCTAGTGGTTTACTTTGAGTGGTTAAAACTGCAGGTGGGTTTGGTTTAGTTATAAAAAGATATCTCATTTCAACCCTTTGATGCATAATGGTCACTACAGTGGACAGGTACTCAAATTTATTTATTTATTATTTTTATTAAGCACATCTGATGAAGACTTAATTGCATTTGAGCCCCTCCATTTGGACTTCAGTAAGTCAAGCCAACATACTTCACGCTGTCCACCGAGGTGGACATGTAATAAATTATTAGTAAATTATTAAATGTTACAAAAAATTTTTGCTGAAATTTGTTTCATTCATACCTAAAGATGAATGAAAAAAATTGTTTAAAAAATCATGGCCAAAGATTTCGTAATTCATGCATCAAAGGGTTAACTTAAATGTTTTGTTAGAAATATCATGTTTTAGGTCAATTCTGTTTAAATAGGATGCTTTGCTGCCCCCGTGTGGTCAGAAATATACAAACCAAAACGTTGCTTGTTTTCGGTGTCGCCTCTAAAAATCACGGGTTCGTTTTCTTTTAAATTAACTAAAATATCAGCAAAGGTGGGTTTTTTGGGGGGCAAATGAATAGCTCAAGGCAAGTAAATCAGATTTTCTCTAGATTTATTTTGAAAAGCTCATTCATGAATAATTCTACTGTACATCTGCCCTGCTAGTTAGTGGGCATGCGCAGTAGGAAGTGAAAGCTAACGCAGTTCCAAACTGTTCCTAGAATATTTAACTATCACATAAAGAAGCGCATTCGGGCGATCCTTTGGGTCAGTACCGAGTTTCACGGGAACATATATTGTCTATGTTTTGGTTGAACTGGGTCTCAGCGCGGAAAAGGGGGTAACTAAACTTGTTTGGCTACTTTTGGCAAGTGACGCTAATGCAGTAGTCTGACACTTGCTTCCTGTTTACGCTACTAGCTTAAAAATCACCGTGAGAAATGTGATAGGTAAAGCTAGGGGACTTTTTAACGCCGCGGAGGAGGAGGGAAACACGACCCTGTACAGCTGTGCGCTTTTTCTTTACTACATGAGTCTGTCGACGGGATGTCGCTGAGTTCGGGTGGTTGGACCCACTCCCCCGGCCTCACACCGGACCAGTCCACCGTCCTCCCCAGCACCAGCAACTATGAGACCTCGCAGGCCGGATGCCAAACCGTACTCATGTCAGTTCGGGTGTCGGTGTGCCATTCTGGGATTCGGCCGCTGTGTCTTCCGGGGGCAGTTGATGAGTCACTCCGCCTGCAGCTCAGCATGGACCCGGGGAAATCCGGGGAATTCCGCCTGTCGCTCCAGAACACCAGCGGGACTGGCCGGAGCATGGTGAGTTTGTTTTGGACTTGTGGAAACCACCGTAACAGATGCGCACACCAAAACAATTATACGTATACCATAAACATTCTTTAAAGTACTTCTTCTCAATCTGGCTCAAAAACATGACCAAAAGTATTCGTTTTAGTCAAAAAGTTTCATACATTAGATTATTATGACCTTCAAAATACTTGGCTTTTGCTGACAATTATGCAGTAAAATAACAGTGTGAGTCATTTACCAAGAGGTTTGAATAGCAATCATTTAAATTGAAGGAGCCATATAATGGAAAATCCACTTTTGGGAGCTTTTTAACCATGTGATTTAGTTGTTTCCTCATAAAAAAAACGCAAATCCGTTTTTGGCTGCATTCTTGTCTCATCTGCAAGTTTTTAGCCTTCTGTTTTTGGAAGGACCTGCAAATGCCTCGATGGAAATGAAGTGTGTCATCACACACTTATCCTCCCCATGAAGCTAGCCTCTGCTCTGAAACCAGCCTCCCCTGGAAATATAGGTCTTCCACACAAGGGCTGGCTCCACTCTGCCCAGATATTGTATAAAGTGTTCACATCTAGCTAGCCAGTTTTTTTTTATATTTCACTTGCAAACAGTCGTTTTTCAGCCCTCTTCCCAAGGCCGTCTGCTTCAGGCTGAACTGGTCCAACACACTCACTAGTGACTGATTGGCCGGGGCAAATTCATATCTACAGTTAAGGGGAGATAGAATAAGCCAGCAGGGGCTTCCGGCATGCATGATTCATAATCATTCTCAATACTGAGGAGTAAACATCTCTGTCTGAGGAGCGCGCACACAGACAGCTCTGCCAGGCTTGAGATGACCAATGGGAGAACAGACAAAGCAGTCTGGATGCAATATCAGAGTCCAAAAGCAACACTGCTCATGGCTGCCTTTGTTAATTTAAGGGAGATGTTACTTCGTACATCTTTTGGCCTGCCCACATACTCAGAGATGCACATTCCTGAGAAGTGTGTGTGAACAAACCCTACCTGTGTGGGACCCAGACTCAACGCCATCCAGCCTGGACTGGATCAGGCCAATGTCGAAACAGCATAATATTCACTATCTCCTAGTCGCGGGTATAGAGCTGAGAATGTGACAGGTGACCACTTTAAACCTCCAGTGGTACCAGAGTTGATATTCTGGCAAATCACTTCTGCATTGGGGACTAAACACGGCAGTAAAAACCATGAGTTCTGTCCACAAAGACACACGTAATGGCCAGCACAGGATATGGGTATTAGGTGACTGTGATTTATAACAGATTTGGTAGCCCTGTGGTGAGAGTACCTATATGCTGTGTTGCTATGACCTTGGGACTCTTCACATCTTCGACTCCCGGTCTCTGGCAGAAACTTTATTTTGTCTTCTTTAGCTACACACGCCAGTATTATGTTTCCTTTATTAGTGTGGCAAGGTGGATAAACGAGGGCCCGGGCGGGATTCGATCCCCAGACTCCCGGGTGAGAGTCATACGCTCTAACCAGTCAGCCATAGGGACATCCCCTTGGCCAAGTAGCCAGGGCGCTTGATCAATCGGGACATTGTGACAGGACGCTCACACTGTCACATCTTCCCCCCTCTTTCCACAAGCACGTCCTCCTCATGCTCCCGCGCAGGCTGCCACAAACTTCACATCCATGGACCTACTTGACAGTACTACATGGATCCTGCCAACAACGCCAAATGTGGCAAGGTGGATAAACGAGGGCCCGGGCGGGATTCGATCCCCAGACTCCCGGGTGAGAGTCATACGCTCTAACCAGTCAGCCAAAGGGACATCCCCTTGGCCAAGTAGCCAGGGCGCATAATCAATCGGGACATTGTGACAGGACGCTCACACTGTCACATTAGTAAACCGTTTAAAAAGTAAGGACTAATCTGAATTCTGCTGCTCGTGTTCTGACTGGAACAAAGACATCAGAACACATCACTCCTGTTTTAAGATCTCTGCACTGGTTACCAGTTGAAAAAAGAATTGATTTTAAAATCCCACTGCTTGTATATAAAGCTGTCAATGGCCTTGCACCACAATATATTACAGACATGCTGGTACCTTATATACCAGTCAGACCACTCCGGTCTGCAGATCATGGCAATCTTGTTATACCACGTATTCTAAGTCAGGGGAGGCTGCTTTTAGTGTAAATGCATCTAAGATCTGGAATACTTTGCCTTTAGAGAAGAGGGAAGCAACTACACCAAATATTTTTAAGATAAATTAAAAAAAACTTTTATTTGAACAAATAAATGGTTAGGCTGTATTATTTCTAATTTATATCCTCCTTTTATAGATACAGTTTTATTCATAGATAAACGCTTACAATTGTTTCACTCTTACCTTAATTTTATGGCCGTGTATGAATGTGTGTGTAAATGCGTGTGTAAATGTTTGTGTGTGTGTGCATGTTTGAATGCATTGGTTTCAGTTTTATGTGTATATTTTATGTATGTATACACCATTTGCAGTTAAAGTGTGTACATATTTTATAATTGATTGTTTTTATTGAGTCTCTTTTAATGTGATGCACATTGAGTTGTTACCATGCAGGAAATGCACTCTATAAATGTCATTCATTCATTCATTCAGTCAGTCAGTCAGTCAGTCATTCATAATCTTTTTATTTATTTTTTTACTTTCTTTGTTTATTTAGCCAGTGTGAGTCCATGTGAGGTGAACAGAGTAAATCCACTAAAATGCTGCTTGGAAATGTAAATGACAAAATTCAAAGATTTTCGGAGACACTAAATATTTTGCAAACAATAATCAATAAAACAAAAATATAAAAAATGAAATCTGCTTCAACTGCCTGCAAAAGTTGCTGCCCACACCTGGAGTCGTACCGGCGTCAGGGCATAGCACAACAAGATGAAAGGCTGATGCGTTAACCACTAAACCACCATAGCCAACCTAAGATGCTGTCATAGGTGTGTTTTGTCGAAGCGGGTGGGCGGAGCTTCACTAAAACGAACCATTTAATTTCCAGGTATAAATTCAGGCTGGCAAAAATAATTAATATTTAAGATAAAGTGACATCTCAATAGTTCCATTGGTAATATTTTATCATATACGGTGTCTACCTTTGCTCTCAAAGGTTCAAAATAGCATGATATGGAACCTTTAACTATTTATTCATCTATTTTAAATGCCTATTTCTTCTGTACAGAACACACATTTACTGTCTTCACTCATTTTGATTATCATCAAAGGGACTATAAGGAAGTTGGACAGCCAAAACATGTATAGAAATAATAAATGTCTTCTTCATACATTCTCCTGCAATGCCCTGGTCCTGTAGAATGAGCCCTGGCATTTTTACTGTGATTGCCTGTTTTTCTGTAAAATCACAGAAAAATAGAGTTGCTTGGGTCGAGCAGGCTGCTTCGTGCGCGTTCACACTCAGGCATAGCCCGTAGCATGTGCTATCAGTAGCTTTAGCAGCAGAGAGGGGAAGTGCCAACTTCCTAACACCTAGTGACAAACCTAGCTACATTTCTGAGGACCCTTAGCTACTTTCTGTAGAACTTTCTTCTAGATATTTCCTGCAAATGAGCAACAAAATAGCCATTTTCGCTTCGAACGCGTTCTTTGGTTTGACGTTGTTTCAACTGTCATCAAGGGTATAAATGTTACACATACTGTGAAAGTTACTAGAGTGTAGCTCACCTTGTAAGATGTTGGACTCCCATGCAGACAACCTGGGTTCGATTCTGGGTGTGAACATAGTTCATTTAGAGTTTCTTTTTTACATTAATGGCATTTTTTTTTTTACAGTAAGATGCCCAAATATTTATTTGAGACTCGCCGAATGGCATTGAATTCACAGATAAAAAAGATGTGGGTTCAACTTTCATTTTGGAACAATTTTTCAAGCAAGGGAAGGGAATGATCTGTAAAGCTGACGGACTGACCCATCTTAAACCTTTGTCAGCTGTGCTGAAGAGAAAGGTACAGAACCAAATAATTTAATTAATTAGCAGCGCGTTCTCCTGTACTCTCTCCTCCGGGACACACACACACACACACACACACGCACGCACGCACGCACACACACACACACACACACACACACGCCCAATCCATGAAACTGTCACTTCCATGTTTAAGAGAAGGAACGTGTACAGCAGATGGGAGATAATGTTTCATTGCTGAAGTTAAGGCTTTCTTCTTGTAGTTCAACAAGTTTTTGTTTGATGAGCTTTCCTAGAGAAGAGATCTGAGATTTTATGTCCACCTTTTCAGCTAATTTCTTCTTTTGAAGCCATTGAAAACAAAGTTCTTGGGTACATTTTTGCTCGTGTTTTATTTCCTTTTCTCATTTCTGCTTATTGACTCCATCGCCACTTTCTCTTCTTCCTTTTTCAAGACCATTGCCGAGTTTGATCTGAGGACTGTAAAGTACGAGGTGAAGTCACCAAAGTGTCACGAGCTGATGTTAGTTGCTCCTCCGCATGACCGCATCAGCTTCAACTTCCTCTGTGAGCAGGAGGCTCAGGAGTGGGCCACTGTGGTCACGTCGGCACTGAAAGAAGCACACAGAGGTCGGATTCAGTTTTATTGTTATTTGGAAACAAGAAAAATCTGCATGCATGTTTCTGTTAGAAAAACGTCACTGAATTTGTCATTTATGAATTGGTGCAGTTAGCCCAATTAAAGGTGGCCTCCACAGCTGATTGAGACTAGCAAACATAACAAATGAGCTGACATTGGGGGTACTTTACTTCTAATGTTTCACCTAAATAACATCAGTTTTTCTCATCATGGTATGGTTTTGAGACAAAACAATATAGAATTCTAGTCCTGATTCCAAAGCATGCTGAAGAAGCAGTTCTTCTGTGGATTAAGCCTTGTTGAGTTAGTTTTTCTTCATTATGAAACTCAGTCTGACAAGAACTGGTTTTATTCTTCTTGTCAAAAGGAAAACAACTTTAAATAAGTACTACTAGTTTTCTTTAATCAACAACAAAAGAAAAATAATCTATAAATAATATTAAACAAAACATTTTAGCTTATGTACTAGAACCGGATCAGACTGCAGTCGCTTAACCTAGCGTTAGCAGTAGCTCGGGTTAGCATAAGCAGTAGCTTGGGTTAATTAGTAAGCAGTTCCTTGGGCTAGTGTTAGCAGTAGCTTGGGCTAGCGATAGCTGTAGCTTGGGATAGTGTTAGCAATGGTTTAAAAAAGTTTTTTTTCCTAATTGATTTGATTAGATCTATCTAATTGTTCTTGTATTTTCCATCCTTTCAGTTGTACCTCAAGAAAATGATTCAGAGCAGCTCTCCATTGGGCTCCATTTTCAGAGCACCTCAACCTTACAAAAAACAGGTGTGCCTTTTCGTTTATCAGATCTTCTAATTATTTGCAGAGTTGTCTGCAGCCAAGTAACGGCTTCCTATGTTTGTGTTTTGTTTGTGTGTGTGTGTGTGTGTGTGTGTGTGTGTGTGTGTGTGTGTGTGTGTGTGTGTGTGTGTGTGTGTGTGTGTGTGTGTGTGTGTGTGTGTGTGTGTGTGTGTGTGTGTGTGTGTGTGTATAGAGGATTCATGCATAGAGCTGAGCAGAGCCATCGAGGCGGGCGACATGAAGTCTGCTTCTGTGTTTGCTGCTGCACTCGCCCATCAGCACGCAGCGCTGAAGATCCAGCCTTCTGCTAAAGACTACGAAGACACTGAAATCAAGTAGGAACCTGATGGTTTGACCTTGTAAACACAGTTCTGGGTCATTAATGTAAGGTTTGTGTTTGGTTTCATTGTCAGTTTGGCTGTTGTAGTGGAGGATTCCTCCTCATCCTGTTGTGTCACTGTGAAAGTTTTCCCACACATGACTACTGCATCGTTGAAACAGCAGGTTCATTCCAACAAAGCTTCTCATTTTACTTCATCTTCAGCCCCCTGATTGTTCACATTTACAGCTTTTTGCTTTTTTTTTTACTCCCCCAGATGTTTCTTGAGTACGGCTTTCACCCACTTGTGCAGCGCTGGATCATCGGCCAGTGTCTGTGCTCTGATCAGCGCTCCCTTGCCTCATATGGTGTTCGACAGCATGGAGACACGGCATACTTGTACCTTCTGTCAGCCCGCCATGCTCACCTAACCTTCCAAGTCCTGCAGCAGGACCAGGAGAGTGCTCTCCTCCTCAGTCCTTCTCAGTCCATTCAAAACCCTCCACTCGCTGCCAAGTCCACAAACGGGCCCTCCTCCCAGGACCAGCGGTCATACGCCACCCTACCTCCAAGCTTCAAGGATGGTGAGAAGCATGTGAAACTGTTCAGTGTTGTGCTCGTGTGACATAATTCTTATGAGATAAGCAGCCAACACTTCTGCATTCCTTTAGGTCGGTCAGAGAGACAACACATCAGAGACCTTACCAGCCTGGAAATGCCAGAGCTGAAGGAAGCTCTGAGTCTGAGTCCATCTTCTTCTCAGGTATAAGTGGAAGTCCGCGAGCGTTGTTCACAACATGTCCTGAGAGCCACATCTGGTTTATTTGTGTTTTTGTATTTGGGATGTTATAAAATACTCAAAGCTGTTTTTATGTGAGTAAAAGGAAGAAAAAACACTCTGTTACACTAAATTCACTATTAAAGTTTAACGGGTTGTAAATGTTTCCTGATTCAGGGTTGGGCGTGTCCGTCGTGCACGTACATAAACAAGCCAACGCGCCCGGGCTGCGAGATCTGCAGCACGAACCGCCCCGAGAGCTACGTCATCCCAGGAGGATACCAACCGGATGCACTGGAGCTCCGACGGATCCAGCGGGAGAAGGAAGCCATCAGACAGTACCAGCAGGTAGGAAACTCATCCACTCAAGCCTGATTTATGCTTCTCCGTCTGCGTCAGTGCGGAGCACACGCAACGCCATTATCCGTCCTTGCGTAGGGATCCGGCAGGCACGCAAGTACGCACGGAGTCGAGTTCACTTTTTTAAACATCCGTCGAACGAGACGGATTATGCAAGCTTGTGATTGGTCAGGACGCCGCTGTTGTTTACAGCGCCGCCATTGCAGAGAGAGCCGAGTTTAACTAGCGGCAGACACGGAGAAGCTTGAAGAATACATCGCGAAAAAACTCTAAAAATATGAACGTTTCATCCTCCCGTGACTGGAGGAGTGAAAAGATGCGCAGCAAGCATTTTATTTGTGGACGGAAATGACAGGAAACGTGGGTTTAGAGGTGGCGAGCGCATGAAGCGGTGGGAGAATGAGAGACAAATATGTCTGTGTTAAAAGTCTCTTATATACACAAAAAACACAATATAAACACACTATCTTGGACCGATACATGACAGGATACCACAGAACAGCGCTACGCCCTCTGTGGTCCTGCCGGGCAATTGCTTTGCAACACTCTCCAGGAGACGGAGAAGTATGAGAGCATAACGCTTCCGTCAATCCGTGCGTGTCTGTCCCTTGCGGAGCTGACGGAGAAGCATAAACCAGGCTTTAGGCACCGGGAGCACGGCTGACACCGGCCACAAACATACTCTACTGAGTCAAAATCCAAAAATAAAAACCACATTTTCAAACTGAATGACGGGAGAATGATTCCAAACTGCCATTCAGACTCTCTCAGGCTGACTCTTCTCTTTTGTCTCTGTTTTTCTGAAGGAGAAAGGGAGAAGAGAGGCGCTGAGGGGTGCTGGGCATCAAAACAACTCTCTGCTGTTTAACCTGGACCAGGACTACTGAATTCACTCACAGATATCGCACCGTTACCATATCAGAAATAATCGTGCACAAGTACCGGTTTTCAGTCTACGTGTCATAAGTTGAACTTTTAATATTTTTTTCTTCGTCGAACTATTTTGTTCTGTTTTCAGCCAGAAGCAGTCGATGAACGTTTAGCGTGTTTGTAAGACGTGTCTCTGCTGGAGCGTGATGCTCAGCCACTCACGGAGACGTTTAACGTTTCGTGTCGTCCTAATCTGTAACTTTTCCAGACGTTTACTGTCTGCAGGACATTTTTAATCCCCTTTTAGACCAAGTGTCATTTTAATGAGCCCCGTAGCACCAGAAGCTGCCACTAAAGAGAATGTATGGTTTATTGATTTTGCACTGTAATTTTGAACAGTTGGAAATAAAGGGTTTGGCTGTGTTTTAAGTGTGTGTTTGACTGAATGCACGCGCTGAAGGATGGTTAATGTATGTGTACTGGCACCTTCCCAACAATGTGCCTCCCTTCCTTTAGGCGAGGGAGGAAGAGCGAATGGAGAATTTTGCCCGCCTTGTTAGGATGGACGGCCATGACCTGATACCCAACCCTGAGCCTGTGGATTGTAGGATTTGTTATGTGGATCTGCCGCCAGGAGAGGGCGTCCTGCTGAGGGAGTGTCTGCACTGTTTCTGCAAGTGAGGTTTAGTACTTCATACTCTTGGTTTGACTCGTGCTTTTTAGATGATTCTGACTTTTTTGCGTGCTCAGGGAGTGCCTACGCTCCGTCATCATGCTGAGCGAGGAGCCCGAGGTTTCCTGCCCGTACAGAGATGATGCATATTCTTGTGCCGGTGCTTTGCAGGAGCGGGAGATTCGAGCTGTGAGTTGGTTTCTCCTGAGACACAGTCGCAATTTTATACGTTAGCACGCTAACGCCTCCATCTTTACAGCTGGTGTCTGCAGAGGAGTACGAGCGCTGGCTGCAGAGAAGCCTGTCGGTGGCGGAGTCTCGGTGCGAGGGCAGCTATCACTGCGCGACTGCTGATTGCGTGGGGTGGTGCGTGTACGAGGATACGGTCAATGTCTTCCACTGCCCTGTTTGTAGGAAACACAACTGTCTCATTTGCAAGGTCAGAAATATGTTTATATCTGGATCTTAATTTTAAAATTGTATTCAAGTTGGCGGATCAGATTTTTGTTGCATCTTGATCATCCTTTGGAGAAATGGCGCAAGTCTTTATAGATCAACTATAAACCATGACAATTTGAATTGATTTTGTAAAATAAACTGCAGATTTGACTCGTAGATGCACTGAAAGTTTTCAAATAGACATTTTAAAGCAGAAATCTGGAGGTTTTTGCTAGAGGGCACCATCTAGAGGTGGAAAACTATACTGCACCTTTAAGCCTCTCTCCCTACTTCCTTGATTACGGCTGGAAGCAATGGCCTCCTGTGCTCAGACAGCTGTTACCTGATTATCCCTGTGGAACCTAAACTCTTTTCAAACAGAGGCTGTTCTCAAAGAAATCAGCCTCTATAATAATAATTGTGTAAAAACATTTAGAAGAAATAATTTTAAACATTTCACCAAAACTGTTGCATCTTTTCTCCTCAGGCCGTCCATGAAGGAATGAACTGCAAACAGTACCAGGATGATCTCACAGCACGCGCTAAAAACGACTCCGCTGCCAGGAGGACGACACATCTACTAAAGGTTAGCAGCTAAACAACGTACTTCAAATTCAACATGTTTCCCAGGGTTTATATTTAATGTAAATAAGTGAAAATGAAAGAATGAATGAAATGATCAAATTGTGTCTGCTTGTGTTGTGTCTGCTCATTCCTTCCTGCTTTTTGCCTCAAACAGACTCTCGTGCAGTCGGGAGAAGCCATGCACTGTCCTCAGTGTGGCATCATTGTGCAGAAGAGGGATGGATGTGATTGGCTGCGCTGCACCGTTTGTCACACTGAGATCTGCTGGGTGACCAGGGGGCCTCGCTGGGGGCCCAGGGTGAGAAATACCACAGACATCATACACAGATGCCTCGTGGACTGGAGCTGGTGTAGTGGTCGGCTGCCATCTTGGATGGGTCTCCATTTGCCCCCCAGTTCTTTTATTTCTGAGGAAGGTGCCGACCGAACTAAAAAACATATTTTATTATACCTTTTCACAAAATCAGACGTATTGTATGGCATGATAATTAAAATATAAATATAATGGGAAAAAAATTCAATATAAAATTCCAACTGATCTGTTTTCAATAGTTGTTGCAGCTGCAGGCTGCACAAAAAACGGGCTTAGTTGCCCAACTTTGCATTGACTCCAGTTGGGTTTGAAGAGCAAAGAACTCATCCAATATGGCAGCTACGCTCTCCAGCACCCAATGAGGCGTCTACGTATTCATGCCTATGAGAAATACTTCCTCTGTATCTTCAACGCACATTTTCCTTAACTTTACCTTCATTTTTTGTCACTGATTCACCTTTTTTTGTGGTTTTAAGGGTCCTGGAGACACCAGCGGAGGATGTCGGTGCAGTGTGAATAAACAGAAATGTCATCCTAAATGCCAAAACTGTCACTGACCTAACGACGGAGCACAACATCAGAAGGGTTTAACTGGAAATCAACAGTTCTCATTAAACACGGAAGAATGAACTTAAAACTCTGAGCTATTTAAAACAAAAGCTGTGTGGCAATATTCTCAGTTTAAGACATAAGAGTATTATTTCATAATCATGTGGGGACTGTTTGTTTTTAACGATTGCACTGCAGATGTAGCCTAACAGGCATGTTGACACTTTATGTGTTTTAGATGTTACAGATGAGGCGTAAAACTGAAGTGACCTTAATTTCTGCACAAAACGCTGCAACAGGGTGTTACTGATCTCAAGTTTTCTTAGAAATGATCTGATTCTTGGTTTGGTTTTAATTACGAGTCTTTCTGCATAAAAACCTCTCAAGTGGGTGGAGTTACGTACTCCGGTACTCTCCGGAGAGTGTGTGTGTGTGTGTGTGTGTGTGTGTGTGTGTGGTGGTCTGCTTATGCTGCCATGTTACCAAAGATATTAAAATGAGCCTTTTTGTCTTTTTATTTTTCATCACAAGTTTCACAATTTGGGGAAACAAACTTTTGTGTCCAGCTAACCACTCGCATGCATCAGTCACCAGCTGTTACACCATCTTGATTGCAATAATATCCACATTTTGTTAATAAGCTCATGATTTTTGTTGTAAAGACATTAAATATATAAAGGTACGTGTGAAGGTATCCCACAAACGTAACATTTTTAATATTTAATGTGACGGCTTTGTATCTACTGAAGTATTAGAAATATTTTCTGTCATTCACAAATATAAATGCACTCAAAAATGGACTGACACTACTGCCCAGGACTGACGAGCCATACACAGATGGTCACTGTTTCAGAAGTATAATGTCAGCCGTGTGTTGCTGATGTACTGTTGTGCCTTAGTTAATGATACTAAAACTGCTTCAGATGCAGCCTTTGGTTTTATTTAGTGAGTTTTTTTAGGAGCCTTTTGAGCTGTGTTGTAATTTAAACTTTTGATTATGCGTTTTTGTTTTTAGAGAAAAGTGACGGTTGTTTACATGATCTTTTGCGGTATTAAACTGTTGGATTAATGAAAACTTTATGGGGTCATATTTCAGTAAATCTAATCAGATGTTATATTTTTAATTAAAACTCACACAGATGGAGCTTTTAATAATCCTGCCACAACTTTTAAAAATGTGTAATAATTTTATATTGAGCACGTTAGTGATTAATTGAGTCTTAGATGATTCATTAAAACGTATTAATGGGTGCAAACTCGCCAGAACTGATTCATTGCATATTACGAAAGACGATTTGGGCCACTGAGAGGATGCAAATTCTGACTTTTTTGTTAAGAATTCTTACTTTAATTTCAGAATTCTGACTTTTTGTCTCGGAATTTTGACTTATTTATTTCTCAGAATTCAGACTTTAATCTGAGAATTCTAATTTATTTCTCAGAATTTTGACTTATTTCTCAGAATTATGACTTTAAAATTCAGAATTCTGAGAAGTCAAAATTCTGAGAAAGAAAAATAGTGAGTTCTGAGGAAAAATAAAGTCGGAGTTCTTTATTTCTCAGAATTCTGACTTTATTTTTCAGAATTCTGACTTTATTTCTCAATTCTGACTTTATTTTTCAGAATTCTGACTTTATTTCTCAGAATTCTGGCTTTTTTTAGTCAGAATTCTGATTTTTTTTCCCCCTCTGAATTCTAATTTATTTCTAAGAATGATGACTTTTTTTCTCAGAAATATGACAATTTTCTCAGAATTCTGACTTTTTTTCTCAGAATTCTGACTTTAATCTCAGAATTCTGGCTTAATTTCTGCGAAATCTGGCTTTTTTCCTCAGAATTCTGACTTTTTTCTCAGAATTATGACTTTTTAAAAAGTCAGAATCCTGAGAAAAAAGTGAGTTCTGACAAAAAAAAAAGTCTGATTTCTGAGAAAAAATGTCTGAGTTTTGACTTTATTTCTCAGAATTCTGACTATATTTTTCAGAAATATGGCTTTTTTTTCTCAGAATTCTGGCTTTTTTCCCCCCTCAGAATTATGACTTTATTTCTCAGAATTCTGACTATTTCTCAGGAGTCCGAATTCTGACTATTTCTCAGAATTCTGAATTATTTTTCTCAAAATTCTGGCTTTTTCCCCCTCAGAATTCTGACTTGTTTTCCTCAAAATTATGACTTATTTTCTCAGAATGACGACGTTGATTCTCAGAATTCTGGCTTAAATTCTCAGAAATCTGGCTTATTTTTCTCAGAATTCTGACTTTTTTCGTCAGAATTCTAAGTTATTTCTCAGAATTAAGACTTTATTTCTCAGATGAATGACTTTTTAAAAAGTCAGAATTCTGTGAAAAGTCTCAGTTCTGAGTCAGAGTTCTGACTATTTCTCAGAATTCTGACTTGTTTTCCTCAAAATTATGACTTATTTTCTCAGAATTATGACTTCGTTTCTCAGAATTATGACGTTGATTCTCAGAATTCTGACTTTTTTTCCTCAGAATTCTAATTTATTTCTCAGAATTAAGACTTTATTTCTCAGATGTATGACTTTTTCTCGGAATTTTGACTTATTTATTTCTCCAAATTCAGACTTTAATCTCAGAATTCAAATTGATTTCTCAGATGTGACTTTTTAAAATTCAGAATTCTGACTTAATTTCTCAGAATTCTGACTTTATTTGTCAGAATTCTGACTTACTTTCTCAGAATTCTGGCTTATTTTTCTCAGAATTACTTATTTTCCTCAAAATTCTGACTTTTTCCCCTCAGAATTCTGACTTTATTTCTCAGAATTCTGACTTTATTTCTCAGAATTCTGGCTTAGTTTTTCTCAGAATTCTGGCTTAGTTTTTCTCAGAATTCTGACTTATTTTTCCTCAAAAATCAGAATTTTTTCCTCAAAATTATGACATTTTTTCTCAAAATTATGACTCTCAGAATTATAACTCAGAATTGTGACTTTGTTTCTCAAAATTATGAATAATCTCTCAGAATTTTGAATTATTTCTCAGAATTGTGACTTCAATTTCTGAATTCTGACTTTAATCTCAGAAATCTAATTTATTACTCAGAATTCTGACTTCTCAGAATTCTGACTTTTATCTCAAAATTCTGACTTATTTTCTCAGAATTTTGACTCATTTGTTTCTCAGAATTCTAATATATTTCACAGATTTGTGACTTTTTAATATTCCGAATTCTGGGAAAAAAGTCAGAATTCGGAGAAAAAAGTCAGAATTCTGAGAAAAAATAAGTCAGAGTTCTGACGGTATTTCTCAGAATTCTGATATTGTTTCTGAGAATTCTGACTTTATCAGAATTATGAATTATTTCTCAGAATTATTTCTTAGAATTATGAATTATTTCTCAGAATTCAGACGTTAATCTCAGAATTCTGACTTTAATTTTCGAATTCTGACTTTAATCTCAGAATTCTAATTTATTTCTCAGATTTATGACTTTTTAAAATTCAAAATTTTGAGAAAAAAGTCAGAAATCTGAGGAAGAAAAAGTCAGAGTTCTGAGAAAAAAAAGTGAGTTCTGTTTTTTTTTCTCAGAATTTTGACTTTTTTCCCCCTCAGAATTCTAATGTATTTCTAAGAATTGTGACTTTTTTCTCAGAATTATGACTTTATTTTTCAGAATTATGACTTTATTTCTCAGAATTATGAATTGTTTCTCAGAATTCAGACTGTAATCTTAGAATTCTGACTTTAATCTCAGAATTCTGACTTATTTCTCAGAATTCTGACCTTTTCCTCAGAATTTTGACATTTTTTTCCTCAGAAATCTGACTTTTTCTGAGAATTCAGAATTTTTTCTGATATTAAAGTCAGTTCCTTTTCAGTGGCCCTAATCCTCTTCTGCAGTATGTAACAGTACTACAAAAAGAGCTTATTTTAATTTTAAACATTAAAAACATACTTTAACCTTCTCTGTGACCTAGTGGTAGAGTGTCCGCTCTGGGACTGGGAGATCAGAGTTAATTCCCGGCTGGGTCATACTGAAGACTTTAAAAATGGGACCCAATTTGACACTCAGCTTAGGGGTTGGATTGGGGGGTTTAGACCACCAAATAGTTGAGTGCAGCCACTGCAGCTCACTGCTCCCCTCCATGGGGATGGGTCAAATGCAGAGATGAAAACCCCCAATAAAGAGACATCTTTTTGTGTAAATCATGAATTTCTACCCTTTTTGTCTAGGGCTAGATGGGCTGAATGTGGGTTAATACAGTAAATCATTAGTTTAAAGGCAACAATTTAAAACTTTTCAACATCTGTACTGGCTGTCTCTGTGAGATTGTCCTGATTGTTCCTGTGGGCAGATTATTTATGTGGATGGAAGCTTAAGATATCAAAAGACTATCAGCAGGTGGCAGAACCTTAGGAGAAGGATTCATGATGACTAGATGGCAGCAAATCTTAATCTAGACTTGTGCCTTTTGAATAGCCAAACAAAAAAGTCAGTTGATGAAGGTGATGTTTCATTAGAGGGCTGTTTGTATTTGGTTCCACCTTAAGGTTTTTAATAGTTTTTTTTTTATAATATTTCATACAAAGAGTTTATTTACATTGATCTATGGTACAATATGTGATGTTATGTGTAATGACATTCTAATTGAACTCAATGCACTGATGAAGTAGGCTTATTTGGAATGTTTACTTTGTAAAGTGCGTTGAGACGACTCTTGTTGGAATTTGGCGTTTCATAAATAAACTGAAGTGATTTGACTTGACTTGCAGACAGTTAACACTGGTCAATAATATAATGAAAAAGACAATACAGCACGATGATATGAGCATGTCGACATGTTACTGTGAAAAAGTCAAATGTCAATATGCATTATTGCGCTGTTTTTGTTGGTTTTTTTTTGTGTTTTTTTCCCTTCACTTTAGTAGATTTTTGCACGGAAAAGATCATCCATTCTGGGTGGATATATTGGCATCAGTCCATATTTGTCCTTAATAAAGCCGATCATAAGTCGAGCACATCTTCCAGCAGCCCGGTGCTGTTGCAGAATTTAATTTAAATGTATTTTTTGTTCACTAATAACATCTGCATACTACATACTCTAAATTAATTATTTAGATGTCTGATTTAAAGAGACAATGTGTAACTTTAACTGTTAATCTCTTGAAATATCCAACAAAGTGTTGAAAATGAGTAAAATGATGCCCAGTTTTTGAAAAATATTGGCAGCTTTGTACCATATAATCATAAAAATTGAGTCCCAAGTACACAGGGCGCGGATCTAGCGTCATGGGGGATGCCATATTAAATGCAATGTTTGCCTGTGGCTGGCTCGGGGTCCTGTGCCCGTCGTTGACATCACACTAGATGAGTGGATGGACGCACGACTTACGTACTTATCTTAACACTGAACAGAGCACAAAGTTGAGATTTAACAGTTAGTTCAATTCAAAGCTCAAAGACTGATTCAGCTTTAAAAAATGTATGCATCAACTGATGTTATTAGTGACATTTTAGCATGAAAATGAGGTGGAAAATCTCTAGATATCAGCCTATAAAAACTGGCTGTACACATTGGCCATCAGCCATACATGTCGGTATCGGCAATAGAAAAATCTATATTGGTCGATCTCTAAAATATACAGTTTTTGTTGTTGTAGATGAGGCTGTAGATCATTTGAAATAGACTTTTTGTGGTAAAGTTCAAAATAGTTATCTTACTTGCACATAGTTCTTTTGAACAGCGATTACTTTGGGCTGATGAGTTTGGGCCGCATGGTGGTGCAGTTGTTAGCACTGTTGCCTTTTGCCTCTTTCTGCATGAAGTTGCATGGTTTTCCCTATGCCTGCGTGGGTTTCCTCCTGGTACTCCAGTTTCCCCCTCAGATCACAACATGCTCTATAGATTAACAATTGTACGTCGGTGTGGATACAAGCGTCTGCCAAATAAATGTACAAACAGTTTTAATTAGACAGACAAGCTAACAGCCAGTCAGAGAAGAGACAATACCAAAATAGTTCTATTGTCAAAAAACAACTCTGAACTAGAAATACTCGTAACTGTTAATTCAAACACTAGTTCATACCGTAAATCTTTTCATTGATGCTGTTTCCATAAAACAGTTATGCCGCTAGAGGGTGCTAAAAGCAAGCCAAACCTGCGTAGTCTGGTTAGATTACGTTGCGTTCAATGTTACTCGGAAATTTTGAATCAGTATGTAACCGTGATCAAGAAATGGTATAATTTTGTAAAAATATTTTAATACATTCCACGGCCTGTTTGTGATACCAAAGAAAGATTATTTGAAAACATGATTTAACAATTTAATATAAATACATCGTTGCTGCACTTTCTTTTAAGAAATAAACCAACATTTGTACATTTTCCTTCAAAAGCTTGAAACCACACATATAATATTTGCGTTATTAAAAACAAAATCTATAGTATTTTTTATGTTAACAAATAGCCTTGAAGTAAATTTAATTGTAAAGTATTGGGGTGATGAAAGGATTTTTACGGGAAACCTGAAGGCAGCAATCACATGAACACCGCCCATTCAGAAAACTGAAGCTGAACACAAGGATGTGGTCGGTTCGCGTTAGCTTCAACTCCCGTTTACCTATTAAAGTTAAATTGTTGTACTAATACATAGGTAATGACCCGATTTAAACACCACATAGGGAAATGTATGCTACGGATCAGTTTCAATCGTTGTTTTGCTCCCGTAATTAGCTAATAGTGCAATTTTTGTTTTGGCCTGCGACTCGAATATCTTCTAGCTAAACTAGCTTCTGTGTCTTCTGACACCTGAAAGTCTTCTTAAATGTCACCGGAACAACCATAGACATGCCAACTCTGATTAGCCAACTCGGGGAAATGATTTCATCGTTTTAAAAGTAAGTTTAAAACCTGTTTGTTATGTTAGCTTTAGCTAGTTTTTATGAGGAAGCTAAAGGTACTTTCAGTTTAAAGTTGCATATATTAGCTAAGTGCTACAACAAGCTCGTGTGTTTATTAGCGGCAGGTTGTGACGGTATTATGATTTAGTTAGAACAAATATGATGAATTTTGTCTCGTAAAGAATGCGTTTTTCTGCAGGAAACCTTGTGTTTTTGCCAAGGAGTAATATTTTCGTTATGAGACTCTCCTCTCAATAATAAACATCTCTCAAAAATGGAGCTGTACTGGTACATGTGAGTACAACTTAACTCCTTTTTGTTCTTTTCTTTTGGATTTTAAATGTGATGCTAAATTTAAACCACTTGTGTTGGGCAGAAATTGAGTCAAAAAGCAAAGCACAAAGAAAACCTGAACTAAAGCTGCTCAAGACTACAAACGACTACAATGACTCACATCCTTCCCTCTCTTTTTCTTGCAGAGTTGTTATCATATTCATCGTCATAAAGATATTTTTTTACGTTTGCTGGTACCGATCAAGACAAAGGCAGCTGGCAGCTTACCTGACCAACACACGCAATGCTGAGATAGTGATTGTTGGAGGAAGGGCCTACCTCCATCAGATGTGTGAGAGGCAGAGTGTAAGTCCCATACCTGTGGATTGTTTTTCTGTTGTAAATAAAGATGAACATGGTTCATTGAGCAAGAAGGGTGTTCAGGAGACCAAGAAGGTCACGGCTGGGTGGTGTTAAAAGCAGGGTGGAGAGCTCCCTCGGGGCTGCTTGTTGTTTTATTTAGTCATTCACTTATACATTGATAGGCTGTGCTTCATATTTTGTGACATTTCAAGCGAGACAGTTTTTTTTTCAGTGATAGGAGCTCAGTTGTTCTCACTTTTCATGTCTTTACAGCTATGCGCAGGTCATAGCTTTGATAGCAGTGTGATAGAGGGGAAATATAAACTGTGGAAACTTTATTGTGCAATTTTGTCTGTAAAATACAGAAAATACTTATAATGTCTCTTTTCATCACCGTCCATCTTCTGATGAGAAAGGAAGATTCCCATTGAAGTGGCACATACAGAACGATCTTCCTAGCATTGGATTTGTTTTTTATTTTTGCTGCTTCCCCAGAACTTTTAATTAAAGTTGATTTAAAACCAAAACGAAATAAAGTCCATGATTCAGCTTCCCCCAAAAGATTCAGTACATTCATTAAAAACATGTTACTTTTTGTAAAAAGATCTCATTTTTGGTCATTTCTACTTTATCAGATTTTTCTTTTCCTCTCCGTCTGTGTCATTGCGTCTAAAATGGACCAGCAGCGATATTTTTAGCTTTATTTGGAACATTTTTTCTCCAGGAAATGCCCCATTTGTTAAGGAAAACAAATGTTGCTGTTGAAATCTAACTTGAGCTTTTAGCCTTGGCTTTTGCCAGAGAGATACATAATACTCTGTGTCTTATCCGTACCTTCAGTCCAGTTTGGGCTTTCTGGTGTCTTATCAGATATTGCATGTACTTACTAATTAAATGCCAGTTTGATGTCTGAAGCTCGTCTCTCTCATGTGGAGTTATGTTTTTTTTTTTTTTTTACCTCTTATGCTGAAGCCTTTTATCAGATTCCTTTCAGATGCTCATTATTTTGTTATTTTCTGTTTACGCCCACTTCCTCTGCATTTCTCTGGAATGTTTTCAGATTCTCTTTTGGCTAGTTGGAGTTCTTTATGGCCTTTTCTGTTGCTTTTTACTGTCTCAGTTAAATAACGTGGAGAAATAATTGCTGCAAAAAGGACTCATGATCATTTACCAAACTATTTATTTTCAAAATTGTCCATTCAAATGCCAACAAAAGTCATTGTGTGGGTGTAAATAATGTATGAATTGCCAAACTATGGAAGCATATTGCTGTCAGTGCAAGGAAAAACTATAGGAGCAGAATACTGTAATAACTAGAAAGTTTCTCATTAAAATGTGATATGAATCTCATTTTAACAAAAAACTTTTTCTAAATGACGTGTTTAATATGTCGTGATGATGAGATAGTTCATCACAGACATCTTGATGGATGTTTGAATCTCGTCTAGACGAATTGAAGGGAGAAGAGAGTCGGAGAGCTTCATTGTGCCTTTTTAAGAAGCGGTAGTAGTCGGGCACGTATTCCTAAACACTTCCGTAAAGCCGTCCTCTACTTTCAAAACAACAGAGAAAACCGCTCTCACTTCTTGTCCACGGAAATTTTCAATACTTCCGCTGTCTAGTTGAGGTGCAGTTTTCAAAGTAAAAGTTGACTTCCTGTTTGTGCTTTTTCACATTTAAAAGCTTGGAAAACTTTTGACATTAATAAAATAATGTGCATAAAATAATGTGTCTCTGTGTTACATTAGACATGAGCGAGAAATCTGTGGGTGTTTTTGGTGATACGCTACAGCACATACCCGCCATTTTACCATTACAACATTTCTTGTTTTTACGCGATATTTAAACACGTTCTTATGAGACGGTTTCTCATTAAAACTAGATTTATGTCACATAATAAGGAGAAAACTCGTAATTATGAGAAACTGCATCTTTACGTTTTTCCTCACTGGCGGCAAAAGGCGTCCGTACGAAACCTTCTCTGACCACATTATAAAATATTAAACTTAGTAAAAAATTAAACTTCTGGGAAGAAATTGATCAGATTTTTGTACAGTTCAGACTTGCAGTTACTGTCTGGTTCAGATTCATCTTAATATAATAAACAGAATAAAACTTTTACATTTATTTGGAAGAATTTCTTTTTCTTTTACGACTACAAACTTACTCTTAACGACGGTGAGTTAAAGGACCAAAATGAAATCTGACCTTTGAGTTTCACATACAAGAATTTTATGGGTGTTTCTGATTTATCTTGATTTGTCCTTAATATGCTTTCATAGTAGAGATAATACTTTAATAACTAGAGTTTAAAGAGCAAGTCCCCCCCAAATCAACTTGTTTTTGCTGATAAACTATATAAATGAGTGCCTAAGTGTGCTGTAAACACATGCAGCCAATAATTTGGCTCTTAAGTGCATCTTAGTTAAAATTTAAATATTCTGCCTAAAACTGTCACTGCTGCGCCGCCGTCAAGCAAAAACTCGGCACTGCATTCAAATTTAAATCTGCCCGTCACTATTGGCTAAGAAGTACACTATGATGTCAGCTAGTACTTTATGATGTTGTTGTGAGCCTGTGTGTGTATTTGTTAGTGGCTCTGCCCTTTCAGTCTGCCAGGCAACCGCATTTTTTGCGTTTTTCAAACAGGAAGTGGAGTAAGACTAGTAGGGGGTGACTTGCTGTTTAAAGATTAGAATAAAGCTTGGTTTATGCTTGACGCATTCACTTTCCGCTTGGTGATGCGGCTCGCGGACGGAACGCGCTTCACAACTCGCAGCGTTTATGGTTTGTGCGGCTCGTCTCTGCGGTGAGCCAATATTCTCCCAAACTGAACGGGGCAGCATGGAGCTCTACAGCATGCATCCAACACTACACCATAGTAGAAGTAGAAATTACTGTTTACAACATGGCATTCCAGCATTTTTAACAGCGTCCTCGTCTTTTCCGACAGTGCGAGCTATTTCTCTCCAAGAATTATTAACAACATGTTGATCACGGTGATCTCTGAGAGCTGAATCATACAAATGTCTGTATTTACGAACCTCTGCCATACTAGTTCTTGCCGGTCCGCCATGTTTTTCCGCGTCCGTCCGTCCGCGTGGTTAGAAATTTTCCGAGGTGCGCGTTGCGGAAATTCTGGGCCATGCGGAGACGCGGTGGAGGGGCGTGGTTGTTAACATGACGAACTTTTCCGCGCGGAGCCGTGCGGACCTCGCGGACGCGTCAAGCATAAACCAACCTTAATTCAGCTTTTGGTTTGTCTTGCAGCGTTGGCCTTAAACTGGTTGCTTCTGTTCTTTTCTTCTGACGCCCACAACACTTTAAAATTAAATTTAAAGTAATTCAATCATTCTTCTGTATCATCATCTATCACTTAATCTATTAATTCAGTGAGATTGAAGCTGGAAAACTTAACACCAGATGAAAACATTTATTATTGTAACTATAATCTTTAACTAGACTATTTGGTTTCATAACTTCTCGTATATATTTGTGGACTTCTGTATTTTAAGTGCTTCCTTCTCTTTTGTAGCAGACGTCCGTCTGGCCCAGTTGGTATGGAGTCCAGGACGACCTGTCGATAGAGGAGCCCTCCACTGCTCTGCCACCCACCGCCTCCTACTCCCACCTGGAGATGCCCCCTCCGTATGAGGCAGTCTCTGGAGGTAGCAAACACACACACTCATAAACACACACAGCGCTTTCAGGTCATGCGGATATGAGGCAGGAAGCCTGAATCATTACCGTCCTTCTCTTCTCCCACGTTTAAGCTGCCGCTCTTGGCAGCTTTCCACTCACACGTTTGCATTCAGCTCTAATGAAATTCCTTCCTGGATACGTTCATGTTGTTTCTGTTTGGTTTACTTAGTTGTTAGTTTTAGTTCTGTAGTGTTAGTCAATAGCTGCTTGCACATGAATTTGAATGTGTTCCAAGTGAAAATGGTGGGAAAGTCCACCTCGTTTGCTGAGGCCTGCGTGGTTTCTGTACTCATGATGTAGTTCATGTTTCAGCAGAGGGCAGATTAGTGAGGTTTCGTAGAGGAAGAAGCTTTCCTATAAGAGGAACAGCTTCGTGTAGTCATCCTAAACAGTCTTGTACCTTTATTATTTTTCTTTTTAATTGATAAATTTGAACCAAAATACCACAAAAATAGTTTCAGTTCATCATTAAAGGCATTCTGTGCAACTTTTTCGTATTTTAAAATATTTTTCTTTAGCCAGTATGCGGTAAAATTACTCTTTATAGGGTAATGAAATGTCACTCACACCCCATCACCCTCTGCGGCCAGAATACCGCTCTTGCAACTTCAAAGTTGCTGATCCGGACCCTGTTGGACTTAGTAAAAGTGGAGCTGATGCCTGGCACTGGAGTCTGCTTCCAGTACATTTCCTGTATATTTTTGGTCATGAACTCAGCTGATTTGTTTTTTATTTAGTGATGAATTGCTCCTATAGAAACTAATGAAGTCTGAGGAGACATTTCGGGTGTTAGATTAAGGTGTTAAAAAGACGAACGCACAGCGAGGAGATAAGTTTCACTTTTGCTTTTACTAACAGAACACTAGAGGGTGCTAAAGGCAAGCCGGAACTGCTTAGTATTCCTTTAAATCGAGACTTTTTTTCATTCTTTCTGTAAAATAACAACTTTTCTAACCCGGGCTTTCCACCAGATGCGTAAGCGGCGCGTAGCATAACAGACATGTTATCCTCACGAGTTCAATGGTTCGTCCCCTCCCACCGGGAGTGATTCAGACGCAAGCAGCAGCAAATGGAGATGGTCACGCAAGGTCATGAAATCCGGGGAGAAATTGCAAGATCACTCGTGATTTTGTTTGCACAAATCAAGCAAGGAGAAAGATGGTGTCCAAAAGGTCTGTGGATAATTTTCAGTTCTTTTAGTCTCGGTTACGGAGGTTTCGCAGGTAATGACACATGTGCTCACTAATTAGGCTACACTTGTCTTTTATTTTAAGTTTCGGTATGTTTTACACTGCTTCAATGTTTGACTTCCTGTCTGTCCCGTTTAGAACTGCTGAGCTTGAGGCCTTCTGGAAGCTCAAAGTGTAAAATCAGTGGAGCGAATTGACACTACGCTTCGGAGATGCGTCCAAAACGTGCTGCTTAGCCGGCTGGTGGAAAAGCGACCATCAACAACTAATGGAGCGTTTTATTATTTTTCCTAGCAGAACATTTTACTTACATTTTTACATGGGACAGCAGTAGCTCAGTAGCCTGGCCTGCCAGACTCCTCCTCTGTTTAATTCTGCACAGAGAAAGGGTCTGGGAACCCTCCTGTTCAAATAACCCCACCCCCTGAGAATTCTAACCGAGCCAATCAGCGCTGAGTGTCGTACGTCACACACCATAACACTGAGTTTGTCGAACATGGCAACTGAACTGGAGTTCGCTGCGGCTCTTTCCTCTGTTCTAAATGACTTGGGACGTCTTTAAAACCACAAGTAGAAGCGATAAAAGTCTTTCTTCTAAAGAAAGATGTTTGCGCTGTCGCCATTTTTGACTACAGCTAAAAATCTACAGCACCGCGGACGCCACACACAGCGACGCTACGTTTCTCAAACAACGAAGACAACGGCGGAGTTTCCTGCGGCTCTTTCCTCTGTTCTGAATGGCTTGAATGTCTTTAAAACACAAGTAGAAGCGCTAAAAGCATTTCTTCTAAAAAAAAAACCCATTAAAGATGTTTGCGCCTTTGCCAGATGCCTTTTATTACTACAGCTAAAAAAATACAGCGTTGCGCGGCACAGTCGGTATTTCTGTCATTTTTCTGATTGGTTATTTTTCAGCTGCCTAGTCCCCGTCCTTCAAGTGCCTCCCTGCCTTTGAGTTACTAGGACTCTTTCTGCTGTTGTGTCCTTGGGCAAGACACTTAACCCACCTTGCCTGCTGGTGGTGGTCAGAGGGACCAGTGTTAAATAATTCCATGTCTAGTTATATGAAATCAGGACACAGTCGGCTGGATCCGTGTTTCCTGCCAGGGTTAACTACGCCAACACGACACCACCTCAACAAGATTAGCGTTGGGTCCTGCAGAATCCCGATCTCATTGCAAGTCTCTAGTTTATAGCATCAATCAGGGGTGTAAACATATGCCTTCAATTCCAGTTAAATACATACCTGCGCTTTAATGTCACGCTTTGGTTCATTTTAGTACAGTGAAGGAATAAAGTGGCAAATATACTCAGACAACATAAAAATGGATAAAATAAGTGTTTTAAAGCGACTTTTTCGTATTTGTTAATTTTCTCGAGCCAGTAGCTAAACTGACCCTTTACATGGTGAATGACCCCTCCGCCCCTTGTGAACAGGATTCCCCGTTTGCAACTTCAGCCTCTCCAGACCGCTCCCCTGAAGTCTCATAAAGTCACGCTTTATGGCAATCCATGTTTACAGCCTCAGAACAGATGGGCTATACGACCTCAGAGGCGTGATTTCTGCATGTTTTAGATCATGAACACGGCTGATTTGTTTAATTTAGTGATGGATCACTCCTGTAGACACCAATGAAGGCTGAGGAGACGTTTCAGCTGTTAGATGAAGGTGTTGAAAACACGAGCGCACAGCAAGGGAAGTTTCAGTTTTATTATTATGACAGTGAATTAAAACAGACACTAGGGGGTGCTAAAAGCAAGCCAAAACTGTAACATTAATACTTTGGCTTTCTCAACTGCAACTGAAAGAACAAACAAAACTATTGGAAGTATAAATATTTTCTATCTTTAGGAAAGGAGCATGCTGTGTTTCCTTAAGCGCACCATTAACTCATTAACTGCTAATGACGATAAAAGTCATCATTTTAAATCCAACCGTTCGCTGCCAATGACGACTAAAGTCTGTGTGGGCGTCGGAATGAGCCCCTGCACCGTGAGAAGCATGTGAACAAACATCCCAACTCTGAAGTTGATCTTCATCCGCGCATGTCACACGTCACGTGATCAGGAAGCAGAAAATCCATGTGTTAGGAGGAGTGAGGCGCGAACCGGAAAAGCTTCTGCCAATCGCAATTCGACAACGGGTTATGAAAGAACGGATAACGCTCGAAACACGCAAATTCTTTCTGATGTAAGAGGTGAGTCTCCTTTTTGTTTTGGTTGTTTTGGCGTCGACGTCATCCTAGCACGCAACGTTCTGTGACTCTTAAAAAACAGTAAAAACGGTGAAAAACGCTGGCAGCGAAGGGCTTTTCTGATCAGGAAACGGCTGGCAGTGAATGAGTTAAGCTTGTAGCCTCGTTCAGGATCATCCAACCTTTGTTTTTTGCTAGAATTATTCATTTGTCTGCTGAAAGGACAGGTCGGTTGTCTCCGGTTGTAGAAGACATCCTCTCACTACAAGCAGAGGCAGCTCGTCTGGTGGCTCTAGTTCACTTAGGTCTAGGGTCGTCACAGTTGCTCGGTGACGGGACATACGCCACAGAAGATTGCTCAAGCTCATAGCCGTTCACTTCCAGTCTTCCCAGTCAGCAAAGGACCTGGTGCTTATGTTGCTGGCTAAAGGCTAACGTGTGCTACACATTTACACACCCGTGTGGAAACTTGTTGTGTGTCTGTACCAAAGCCAGCGTTTGTAGTCCCGACCTTCAGTTTGTAGGAAAGCCAATAACCGTTAAATAATCATTAATAAAGGTATGCATTTCTTGGTACTTTGCTTTTTTACAAGATCAAGGTTATCTGTGTCAGCAGCTTTAGCTTAATAGATCATTTTCTTCGTATAGCAGTCTCATGACCGTTCAAAGAAAAGCTAGTCAGGTGAAAAGATTTTAATCTAGATTATCTCTGTTTTGTTTTTCCACTTTTCCACCTGAATTCTTAACTGTTCTTTTCTTTTCTTCATGTTACATTAAAATCCACTAACATTTAAAATATTTATTATATCTTTGAGCTCATTCCACTCGTTTCTCAGCACCCTCTTCTGCCAACAGCGTCTTATTTGATGGTTGTTTAAGGTTGTCAGACAGCAGGATGTGGTTATAGAGGGTGGAAAAGGTGACATAACGGGTGTGTATGCCTAAAGGCTTTATAGGTACTGTTGCTGTGTCTGATTATTTAAACATTACAACAATAATCTCTTTAATTTTAGCTGGCGTCAGAAAGGATATCATAACTTTTAGATTACAGAGAAGTCAAATGCTGCATTCAATGACCCAGAAACAAACAAAACTTTTAGTGTCCAGTCTTTTGGTGTTTACCAGAGTGTAAGGACGAGTTTATTAATTTATTCAATACGTTTTAGTGGTCTCAGGAATGAATGAATGCCTTTCAGGCAGAACTCAGGGTTCAAAAGCCCACAAACCCCTGTCTCAGCAGGCCAAGTCTGCAACATCATAGCTGAACTTCAAACGGCAGGTTCTGGAGTCTTATTTCCTGATATTTGGACATCCCTCCTCGGATTGGATAACAGCAACGTGACTGTAGTGCTTATTTGCAACATGAATGTTTTACCTCCACAAATAACACGAGCCTGGAGGAGCCTCTGCTGTGTGGTGAAGTTGCTAATGCTAACTGTTAGCTTAAAATAGCCAACATCTGCTGCTGATTCCTGGATATTAAAACAACAGCCTTCCCCATAGTGAAACAAGATGGGTGAGTCCATTGACGCTAATTCACAGTGTGACGTAGATCTGTGAGGATTTTCAAATCCTAGAGTTTCACTGTCTGTTTTCTTTCAGAAGCTAATGGTGTAGGAGACTATTTTCATGTTCAGACTATAGGGCTGCTCGATTATGGCAAATGACTGAACTTGATATCTCGATTATTTAAGACAATTTGTCAATTAATGTTGATTTTATTTGTTTATTTATTCAGTCATAAAATTGCTCAGGGCACAATCAGGGCAAAAAGAAAGAAGAAGAAAGCAACAAGATAATCAAAAACAACTCCTGATTCCTAGTATAAAAAGGCCAACACACTTGCTCATTATACAGTGGCATTCAAAACATAAATAAAAAGCATATATGCATATATGTTTTAGTGACGGTCACAAAATGTTGCATAATATTTATTTAGTCCTGTCAAGCGGTGCTGTACGAGTGTGTACACTAGCAACGTGTCCTCAGAGAGATTAATTCATATTTATCGGCGTGAGAAACTTATTTCTATTTATTTTTAAACTATTTATTTACAGGTCCCATCAGTTAGTGTAAAGATTGTCCCAGCCACAGCAATGGGAGTTGCGCTGCACCCCCCACCCCCAACCCAGTCTCACAGCAATCAAGGGCAAGCCGCGCGTGTGTTTAGCTTGCCACACAATGCACGTTATCCCGTTTTTAGTGGCTCAGGAGCCTGCAGGTTCGATGTGCGTCACTCACTCCGGTTAATCCAAGAGGAAGCCGGCACTGAGAGCATTTTTTTTTATTTTTGCGACCAACACATCACTATATCATTCCCTAATGTTTGGAAGGATGATCCGGAGCGCAGGCGGAGTGTTTTGCTAACCTGCAGGAAATGTCAACGACAGTTTTCCAGAAAGTAGCTAAGGGTTACCAAAGATGTTTCTACATTGTTCGCTAGGTACTTTTACAATTTAAAAAGTCAAGAAGGGGGTCTGAAAAGATGTTAGAAATAGCAACTAATTTGCTAAGTTGGCAACAATGCTGGAGGAGCGCTTGATTTGCAACTTGGAGCAGCGCTAGAGGGAGGAGAAAATAATCGGCTCATTTTGATTTTGTAATCGTTCCAAACTCGGATCGTAATTGGGATTAAAATTCGATTAATTGAGCAGCCCTACCAGACTGTGACTGATTATAATCAGTAAAACGTTTAGAAAATGGTTTTTCAGTGTTCCACATCTTTAAGAGCTATTTCGTCTTGTTGAAGCACGTGTGGTTGAAGCTATTGATGTTTTCGTTTGGTTTCCTTTCAGATGATGACCTGAAGCCCCCTCCTTACAGCGAGTGCGCCCGAAGCGACGAGGCCGACATTCCTCACCCACACCACGACACCCTGCTCATTTCTGGTGGAGCAAACTCTGTTCGCATCATCAATGAACCCCCTCCCCCTTACACACTGACTCCGCCCACCCCTGTGGCTCAACAGGGCGAACCCGTGAGCCCCGGTGAGGCTGTACCAGAAAGCAGAGCCGCCTAACCAGTCGCTGATTCCAGTTTGCCTTTTTTCCCCGTCCACTGCCTTCCTACATCCAAACCTCAGTGATCCTCTCCAGCCTTAATCTCATCACACGAGAACAAACGTTTGTTTTATTAGTTATCTGAACCAGTTTGCAGATGACATCAGCGAGCCTTTGTGCCTCAGTCTGGACCACAGAATCCTGCCTCACAGCAAGTTTTCTTCCGGGAGAAACGAGGTTTCTTTTTTTATATGAATATTAGTTCTTCAACATACGTCACCCGTTTGATACAAACTTCCATTGTAGACAATCTAAACTGTTTTGTGTACAAATAATTTCAGATTCAAGCATCCCACTGGGTGTTTGATTGTTTTACATCACTGCCTGTTTAGTGTGTTATGGACGAAACGAGATCAAAGAGCCCATTGTGGCTTTGGGTATCAGCATGACTGATGGGATTTATTCGTGTTTGAGTTCAACTGAATTTTAGGGCTAAAAGGGTAAAGAGTGGTGTAAAAATCTGCTATCCTTTTAATTTATAAGTACTTTAAGAACTAAACCCCGCCCCCATAAAATGTACTATATTGTCTGTTGTTCTGCCGCAAGGTGGCAGACTTTAGCCAAATGTTGTTAGTGTGTAGAGCAGCTTTGGGGAAAAGGGTTTTCGACTTCTGGTGTTTGGTAGAAGTTTTTTAGCTTGTGGTTATGTGAGCGAGAGACGAAACCTGAGCGTGCCTGCGCCCAGCAGAAAGCCAAATTCTCATCCTTGACTCCATCACCGTTGTGCACATTGGAAAGATCGTTACTGAAGACCAGGATATTCACCACCGTTCTCTGTTTAAACAAGATCCCATTTCACCGCATTCCTCCTCATCATCATCATTTCATATTTCATTCTCAAGCAAAGATGGCTGAAAGTGGGACGGAAAACAAAACTTGAACTTCGGATGAACCATTTGGTTTTGGATTTTTGGGATCAAGCCAAATCTCACACGCATTGTCCCTTTTATGAAAGCCTTTTTTCCTGCAGACTTGATGTGTTTGATATCATATTTGTAATTTTTTTTTATTTTTAATTTTTTTTACTGTGAAACTGTCTAAAGTGGGAAAAGGGGTGTTTTGACTCGCTTTCAAAATGCATTTGGCCATTTTAAAGTGTTTGTGTGTAAATGTTATTAATTCCTATCTTGCTTGTTGTAGATTGCTTACTGAACCACCTCATTTTGGAGAAATGACTTTTGGCTGAATTGATAGCTAGTCTGAACCCTGCCGGGGAAAAGCTGCAGTTTAATACCTGCCCTGATCACCAGAATTGCTATAAATTTATCATTAAATTATTATTTTTGCAGAAGTATTGAGTAATCTGTCCAACGTAAGACCTGGACTTGTGCTACATTTCAGTGTCTAGGGTGGTTTTTGACCCGTGTCTAGAAACACGTGTTCCTAAGTTAATGTTCACACGAACTACTGTGAAATGGTCAAGATCGGTCTTAGCATCAGTCCCGTAGGATATAAACTATTTCCCCTATACTGAGGCTGTTCAGTTTGTTTTCTACAATGAGTGAAATTTTATTTATACGTTTTGCAGAGAAAAAAAAAGTCTCTAATGCCATTTTGGTGAGATTAACTATAGCTTTACTTGGAAGCTGTTTGATCGAGTTGCCGTGGCAACTGACCAGCTAAACTGCTTGACCTTTATTGTTGTTCCTGCTGCTTGCACCTGGTTTCTTGTAAATTAATAAGAAAGGAGGCGGTGAATGCTGAATGTTTTTCTAAAAAGTGTTTTAAATTCTTATTGCGATGACTTTTATCACCAATGCCTTTTAGCCAGGTTCTTGTGCTTGTGCCACAATCCGATCGATGCTCCAGAGAAGCTGCGAGGTACAAATCTGAACGTGTGACACATCGAAAGGCTTTCCATCAAAAACCTGCCAGCAGCATCAGAACACAAACCCGTGACCAGAGCGTTCCTGTGAATGATCCATGACATTAGCCGGTTGTGTGAATGAACTTTGTTTTCAGAATCTCTGTATTAAAAGGGTGTAAATAAAAAGTTTCATTTTCTTGAGGAATTTTGGTCTTGCTTGTTTTTAGCTTCATTTAGAAACAGTTGAGTCATTCTGTTACAGTCAATTATTTAATTTTTAATCTTTATCTTTTAAAATAAAATTTTTTAATTGAAAAAAGGTGTAGCACCTTATATTTTTTATCTAGAAAGGAGTAATATAAAAACCCCTTCTCATTTAGGCCCGAGCAGCGAAAGCGCTGCAAAGGCCTATTTTATCTGCTCTGTTTATTTTTCTTCCGCCAAGTAAATTTGCTTTTTGGAGGCCTTAACATACCCGAAAACTCAGGAATTTTTGCACACATGTCAGGCGTGGTGTAAAATTTTGTATTTTAAAGGTCCCAAAAAAAATCGCATTAAAACTAGCTCCACAGCGCCCCCTAGAATGTGAAAAATACCCCCCCCCCCCCCCCCCCCTTCCATAAACCTTAGTTTATCGTACAGTTAGGAAATTTTGTGCACTTGTAGTACTCAACAGTCTGCACAGAAAAGTCTCTTTCAACCATGGTCAACATCAAATAGGAAGTTGGCCATTTTGGATTGAAATGGCGATTTTTACCCGTTTTGGCTGCTTTTAGGGTCCGTTTCTGATTGATTTACTCTATCTTTTTTCGCACAATCATCTTGACGTTTGTGTGAAATTGATCAGAAGGGATGGCCAATCAAAAAAAATAAAACTGGCTTTTCGTATATGCTGAGGGGGCGGGGCAAGGCCTCAAAGTTCGACTACTCACCAAAAAATATATAAATGGCTATAAATTCATAACCAAATAGAGTTTAGTTACAAAAACGTCTGTGGTCATTCGGCATCCGACCCCGAATAAAAATTAATGGTTGGATGATGGCATCACACAAGCCCCGCCCCCTCAGCACCAAAAAGGTCACGTTTTACTGTGATAGGTCCCATATCGCCCCATTTCACTTAATCACCACAAATTGGTAGCTGGTAACTCAAGACAAGTGGGGGTTGCTTGGTGTCACTTTATGGGAGTTTTCAAAAGAGGACGGGGCTGTGGCGGCGCGGCGAAGTTAGGCGTACCGCCGTGGCCATACATTTGACTCCCATTTCGGTCATTTCTAAAGCTATCGCCACAAAACTTCTGGTGAGCGATCCTAGTCCAGCCCCCAAAAAATCTCAGGACCTACAAAAAAGTCTCTTGGGGCCAAGCGCAAAGTTGTACAGGAGGTCGGTCATTTTGGTCCAAGAACTCGATTCAGTTGTTTTCGCACACGTTGTTTGGAGAATGATGCCCCATCGCCCTTTTCACCGATCGCCTTCAAACTTCTGCTATATACTCTTAAGCTATAGGGGGAAAAAAATCAACTGCCGGATTTTTCAAAAGTTGAAAATTGTGGGCGTGGCTAAGCCTCAAACTTTGACCTGTCGCCACACCACTCTTTTTTAGGGATGCACCGATGGATCGGCATTTGATCGTAATCGGCCGATAGCGCCCCTATCGGTTTTGATCGGAATTTTCAAAATAGATCAAAGCAAACCGATCAGGTAGGGTTGTCACGGTACACAGTGTAGCGTAAACCCCAGTAAAAAAAAAGTTGACAATAATAATAACCGTCTTGTTTTTTAAAAAACTATATTATCTTGGTGGGTTTACCGTGGCTGCGATGTAGGCGCGGTGACCCTGACCACCGTATCATCGGCTGAAGTTGCCGGTGTGCGCGCATTGTTTACAACAAAACTTTCTTGAAGCTAAAGCTGAAATAATGGTCAAAGGAGGAGACGGCAGCGCTCAGGACATTTATTATCCCTCAAAGAAGACAAAGTGGGAAGTACGGGCATGTTTTAGATATCTGAAGAATGCCGAGGGAGTTTATAGAAGACGGACGGACGGCTATCCTGTTTGCAGCGCGAGCAGAAAAAGTGTCTGTGAAAGGCAGCAACGCTTCAAATCTCATGACACATCTGAGTGACCGTCACCCACAACTCTACAGTCAACGCAAGGCAAGCTAACGTTAGCGTTTTAGCTAAAATGCGTGATCCGAGGCTTTGGGTTGAGTGAGAACGCAACGAGTCGTTATATAAAGCAGCCGCAGCGCCGCTACCTGCATATAAACCGTGTCGTGGACACCGCCATGTTGAAATGACGCTATGCATTACGGGGCTCCCAGGGGCAGATAAGAGTTGGTCTCTCTCCGAGAATAATTATGAATTTAACAATTATTACTGTCTGATGACATTTTCCCACATCTGCAAAGCTCACTGGAAGGACACAAACCGAGGACAATACTTTCCTGATATAGGGTTTATTACTCAAGTAAGGGTAAAAAAGTATCTCATTAGAAGGCTACTTGAGTACTGAGTATCATCTGGTTTAATATATTTAAAATGATGACATCAAACAGACATAAAATAAGAAGTTATGGACAAATATTGGTATTTTAAAGGCTAAAGGGGAAAAATGTAAACAAATAAACAACATAGTTACAAAATAACTAATTTTAGGCTAAATTTAGACACAAACTGAGGACAATATTTCCTGACATACAGGGTTTATTTAGTTGTGTGAAAATGTAGCACGTTTAAAAAAATACCGCGATAATACCGAAAACCGTGGTAATTTTGGTCACAATAACCGTGAGGTTAAATTTTCACACCGTGACAGCCCTAATACAGACTATTTTAGATTAGGTTACATTTCCTTTATTCCCAGATTATGTAGTTTGTAGCACTCATTATAATGTTGTCGAAAATTTCTGGCCAATCCACGTGATCGGTATCGGTGATCGGTATCGGTGATCAGCATTCTTTGATATCGGTATCGGTGATCGGCAGCAAAAAACCTGATCGGTGCATCCCTACTCTTTTTTTCACAGCTCTCTATTGAACTCCTTTCACCCAATCACCAGCAATCTGGGAAATAGCACTAGACAAGTTGAGGTCACTTGGCCTCCAGTACTGGCAGGTTTTGAAAAAAGGCGGGGCTTTTGGAGCATGGCGAAATTTGCCATCACGCCATGGAAATACGTTTGCCTCTTATTTCCTCAGTTATTGTGATATCGCTACGAAATCTCTGATGAGTGATCCTAGTCTGACCACCAATAGAAATGGACATGATAGGTTTGTGGGCGTGGTCTTTTTTCTGAAATGGCGCCCCCTAGGACCATAAAACTGTCAGCCCCAAGCCGTGCTTTATCTGAGAACTACGAAATTTTGTACACTAATGTAGTGCCTTGGGACCTACTAAAAAGTCTCTTGGAGCCAAGGTCAATGTCGCACAGGAAGTCTGCCATTTTGGTCCAAGTACTCGATTTAGTGGTTTTCACATACTTTGTTTGGAGAGTGATACCCCATCGCACTTTTCACCAATCGCCTTCAAACTTTTGCTATATATTCTTAAGACAGGGAAAAAAAATCAACTGTTGGATTTTTCAAAAGTTGAAAGGTGTGGGTGTGGCTAAGCCTCAAACTTTGACCTTTCGCCATTACATTACTTGACGTAATAACTCCCATGCGCATTATCAAATCTATATCAAACATTGTCTGTGTGATCACTGACCACATCTCAAGACAATGACAATGTGGACAGCTGACATCACCTAAGCCCCGCCCCCTGACAACAGGAAGTCTATTGTTTTATGGTGAAATGCCCATATTTGTCCCCTCTAATTTAGTCAATATGACACTAAGGCCATCCACTGTCTTCATGATGCTGTAATGACCATTCAGTTCTGATAGCTTTCCAGAAAGGGAGGGGCTTTGATGCCATGGCGAATTCTGGCGTGACCCCATGACCTTACATTTGACTGTAACTTCCACAAACAGCCTCTGATCTGCATGAGACTGAACATGGCAATCAACAATCCTGCCCTTAGCCAATGAAGCACAAACGGTTGGTGAACGTTGTATAATATCACCACAGTGCCCCCTACATACCTTTAAAACTGTAATAACTCCTACAGACGAAGTCGCAACTGCACCAAACTTGCTATATGTCATCACACAAAGGCACCCAACACAATCCTGTGGTCATTGATTGATATTGCTTTAGCTCCGCCCCCTGACAGACATTAGGCCCTGAATAACACATGCATAATGCTATTCACACCAAACTACACGTAAATGATTGTTGTGAACCTACAAACTGCTCCATGGGAAATTTTACCTCTGTCAGTGCGCCAGAGGGCAGCTGTGGCTACATCGTAGCTCATCACCATCAGTGTGTGAATGTGTGTGTGAATGGATGAATGATACACTGTAGTGTAAAGCGCTTTGGAGTCCTTACTCTGAGAGGCGCTATACAAGTGCGGGTCATTTATCATTTATCATTTGCCTACAATTGGGACAGTGCCCCCTAGATACAATAAATCCTTTGTAACTTTTACATAAAAGCTCCAAACTATATCAAACATGGTGGGAGTCATCACGCAACTGCAATCAACACATGTATGTGGTCACTCGTTCAAATCACTTTAACTCTGCCCACTTACAGCCTTTTGCCTCTAGATGGCCCATGCAATGTTTGATTGATGCCAAATTATTAGAAAACTATCTTTCATGACAAAAGATGACCTCTATGGGATTTAGATGTAAATGGTCACAGCACCCCTAGATAACTTTAACCTTCAATAACTTCAAAAAACGTGGTCAGAATAGACTTAAATGTGGTCTGTGTCATCACACTACCAGTGTGGTAAAGATAGAGTATCCCCTAGTGGTGAGACGTGTAATTTATTGGTGGGCTCAGAGGAGATGCTGAGACAGGGTGAGGTGCGGATGAGGAGACCGTTTTCCTTTGCCCTCATTCCTTTCATTTCACCTCTGCTTTTTTGTCCTGTTTTGTTATTTATTTTTGACCTTTTCTTTCTGTCCTTTTTCCTCCTTTTGTCTTTCTTTGATTTCTTAATTTTTTGTCATTTTACTCATTTTTTAACTTTTGTAGTTGTAATCAGTCCTTTATTTTGTACATTTTTGTACAATTTTTGTAATTTTTTGTTGACATTTTTCTTTTTGTTCTTTACTGTTGTCCCTTTTCATCCTTGTTTTATTCC